AGTGCGCAAGCGCAGCTCAGTCGGCTTCCACAGCTGGGCCGCGCGTGCCGCTCGGTCCGCTCCCGCAGCCCCGCCCTCCTCTTTCCCCGCGATGTTCACTCACTCTGGGTCACTTAGCTGGGGAACTGGCCCCAAACAGAAACACAAAACCAAAAACAAAGACCCGAGCCACTCGAAATGGGCAGCAGGAAGGGACGTGACCCAGGCTGAAGTAACCACCTGAAGAAATCTTATCCCCGACTCCCGAAGAGGAGCTTGCCGGCCAGCGCCACTTCCCGCGAGTTCTGAGGGGCCTTCCCTTGGCGTTCTCACTAGCCAACCTCCGCCTCATCCCGGAATCCCTCACAGCTGACGGCAAACACGCCTGCTGTCGCCCTCACAGAAGCTTCTCCAGAACCCCATCACCGACTTCTTTGTCGTCGACTCCTTTCTATCAGTAACTCATTCAAATCCCGTCTCTGCCCCCCAGCTAAGAAGGGTATAAATCCAGCCTCATCCAAAGCTCTCGCGTAACAGACAGGTCGCCGCACGCCGCGCCCGGCTACCACAGAAGCTAACCTTCCGCAGATAAACTAGGCTGTATACACTGCAGTCCCAAAGGCTGCCAATTCTGAAGAAGCCGCGTTTACATGTAGGTCAGGCACGCCAGAACCGCTCCACTAAAGCACAGGATAAAACGCTTGCTCACCTTGACCAACCCTGGGGCAGATACCTGGGACTGCCTCCAGGGCGACTTCTAAAGAATTTACCTCCATCTGCTCAGCACATTCCACCCAGAGAATCCTGATTAAAGTGAATGAGCTGCCGCCGACCCTGACTGGCTTGTAGTTTCAAACTGTGATTCTATTACAAAGGGCAACAAACTTGGGCTGAGAACACAGCTGTGACTTTTCAGTCTCTACAGGATGATTTATCATCGACAATTAGATATTTAGCTTTAAAAATATGGAATTCCAGATCCCTGTGACTTATGGGTATGTGTACATAGATAAGTTATGGATGGAGAAGAAAGCAGGACAAGCTTGCAAATTCGGAGGAATTCACTAAGCTACGGGGAAATCAATGAATATTTTGTTACCCAAATACTAAGTTTGATCCAAAACAGAAAATGTAATGCTAAAAAGGTCCTCTGCTCTTAAATACCAGTCTTTTAAAAACGTCTCTTTGCAAGGGGAGAATTTTTGCAGCTAGACTTGGGATATAACTGTCTTTGCAAGATTAATCATGAATTGTGTGCTACACTCAAACCACCAACCTTCTTCAATAGTGAGAGAAGGGTAACTAGTGGGAGGAAGTCATTCCACCCCTCCCCCAACTTAATATCCTATTCCCAGATGAAAGTATTTCCTCATTTCCAATAATTTATTCCTCATTCATTCTGAGAGATGAAAGCATGCTCCTCTGAGTGAACAGGAAGATTTGCCAGTCATTTTGCAACTAGCTATTTCTGGCTTTCCACTAGAATATTCCTTCCTTTTTAACATACCTCGTTAAGACGTTCAGCTGTTAACCAAATAACACTTTTTCTGTTACATGAACTTCATGTAACTCTAGTCACCAGTAACACCCCCCCCCGGTTTACCCATCAGGATGGATATAGATGGACACACATGCACACACACATATACACAATGCAAACTTGAAAATCACCTCAAATCTTAAAAATAATTTCAAAAATAGCCTAAGTGATGTATTTCTTACTGAACACAGTCAAGTGGGACACTGGCTAAAAAGACAGTTTACTTCTTGTAATTCAGTCATCTTGAGAATTATCGACTGCCTATCAGTGCTAGGGGCATAATTCAGAAATTATGATAAATTTTCTCTGCATTTGATGATAATTTAATTTCCTTTTCCTCACTTTAAAAGGAAATCATAATTACCAATCTTTACTCACAATAAATGGTTAAGGGCATTTTCATTTCATTTTGTATCATCATAAGCCAAAAAAGCCCTGGTGAGTTTTAAATATCACAACGGATTAGGGCATAACTCAGCAGCACATTCTAGTGCAGACATGAATAATTTACCATCTGACACTTAGTACGATAATTTTGATTCACACATGGGAAATCTTATTAACCCATGACAGAATCAAATCATTAAAAAAGGGGTGTGTATGAGAATTTCACAAACATTTGAAGCCAAGCATATATATGCAATAGTAAAATGAACATATACAATACAGACACAGATTAACACTGTTGAAAGACATTTAGATTGATTATAAAGATATTTAGTACATTATATAAAGATTACACTCTTTTTAGAAACGAATTTATAGGCTTCTTTTAATTGATATAGTTCTGACTTAAAGATGCTTTAATAATTCTCTCCTTTTCCTCAAATAAGATTATAAGTCTACCATTAACCCTCACCTTCAAACGTCACCAAGCCAAAAAATATAAGAGAAGAAAGGAAAGAAGGAAGGAGGAGGGAGGGTGGAAGGAGAGGAAAGGAGGAAGGAAAGGGAAGGAGGGAGGGAGGGAGGGAAGGAGAAAAAGCCTTTCTCAATTCCATTAACTAACTCCTATCACAAAGTAGAATTACATGAAAATGTAATTCCTTCACATACTCAAAAACAACATCTCATGATAAAGTCTGTAGTTATTTTATTCCTGGAACATTAGAAAAGATAGAAGAAAACTTTCAGAAATGTAATTTCTGTCCATTTCTGTTTATCATAATGATGATAAGCTTGTCAACTTACCCCCAAACTGAGTGAACTGGCTTTTATCTCCCTAAGAAATCATTTTAGGTTACTATTAGTAAAGTCTTTAAAAGCCCCAAATCAACTGGCTGGCTGAGGATAAGCCTGGGACTTAGCTTGGGAGAAAGAAAAAGTAGCAAATTATTGTTGAGATGGCTACAGGGAACTGCCAGTTAAGTCCACAGTGGACTGACTATAGAGGAAAACGTAAATACAGTTAACAAACTGTAAGGCAATATACAGACATTGTTATTATTAATGGCAATGATGAATGATAATAATAACAATAATTATGATATTTTCAATGCTGATTATTTTGACCCACATACACAAAACCTACAGGGAATGAAAATCAACGAATTAGTCAACTACAGGTCTGCTCTGCTAGAGAACTCTGGATAAGGAAAAACATCACCTCTATATTTTACTCTACAGAACCTGACAGAAGACTCACTGAAGCCTCAGAAATTTCTGCTCTTGGAGTAGAGAACAAGCTAATTTTTTTTCAAGTTTGGAATTTTGCATTTATTTCAAAACCTTTTGAGGTTTTGAAAGAAATTATATTCCTTTTTCCTCAGAATTGACCATACCGTTTTAAGACATTTTTATTTCACTATATAGAGTTATTTAGAGTAAAACTTTATATAACTTATTCAATCTTATTCCTCAGGAAATACTGAGACTAAAAAGTATGGACAAAGCTGTATATCTATTTAGTGGGTGCAAACACATATATTGAATAATCTTTACTAAAATATGGTCATTGCCACAAAGTTTGACGTTACCTCTGGTACTCCTAATTTTCGGCATGCTTCCAAAAAGTTTTCCACATTTCTTCTGCATTTGGCCATACTGAGTTTGGGCTATAAATGCAAATATGCAGAAATAATGAATTATTAAGAGAGAAATAATTTTAATAACAGATTAAATTTTAAACTTTCTAAATGGCACAAATAATACATGTTTATTGGAGGAAAAAAAATAATACGTAAGCAAAAAGAAGATGATAAAAAATTATCCAGGAACATCCACCCAAAGAACGGTTAATATTTTGGATTATATTCTTCTAGACACTGTGTGTATACAAAGATAAGCACATAGGTATACATACAGATATGTGTTCATGTGTAGAATTTCTGCACATATGTATACATGTATATACATGTGTGTGCAAAAATTTCTGCAAATGTATGTGTATGTATATGTGTGGATACACAGACACACACAATTTTTATGAGATCATACTGTTGTGTAGCCTGCTTTAGTTCACTTGAAAGTACACTGTAAACATCACCTTTTCCCATCATATATTTTTATATGAAGGGTTAAATTAACCACGCTAATGACTTTCTTTCCCACCAAAGCAAGAGGTTTTTTTGAAAGTAGTAGCATCAGTATAAAAAAACACTGAAAATGGTGGGATGTTCAAGACTTAACCAAGAGCCTCTCACAACTGAGTTAATCCTGGCTGGATGACCTCTAAGGTGTGGGATGGATAACAGGTACATCTGACTCACATAGGTTAAGTTTTACATGGCTAGGTTTAAGAGTTTTACTGCTAAATTTTAATAGTCCACTCTTAGTCCTTTTAAAAATGGAAGCAAGAAGCATGACTGACCCCAACAGTCTAGGTTTGTACAGAGCCATGCTTCATAAAGACTGACCTCCCTGTTCATAGCAAGTGAGAGTGAACTGACTCCTGTTCCAGCTTCATATACCCACCCTCATAAAAATCTAAATCTTCACAGTGTTTATTTTTACAAAAAGGGTACTCCCTCTATCCCCCGCCGCCAAAAGAAGAAAGAAAGTCTGTTGGTGTGGAACAATTTAGTTTGGAGGCTGAACAAATATTATCCATGTTTGCTAGAGAGGAAATGATGACCCCACGACATGGGGCCTGCAAAGATGGGGCAAGAGGCTACCTGGTGGGGGTGGGGGTGCCTAACCCCCTGCCATGGCTTAGGACAAGCCCACCACCACATTAAGCCTCATGCAAAGAGAAGGAACAGACACAGATAATGGGACGAGGGATAACAGAAGAATAGGTCCTGGACCAGCAGGGCACCGAGGGGAGTTTCATCATACCGAGACCCTGGCATCTGTCTCTCTGACCCTCTGGTCCCATTATCCTCCTTCATCTACTTATGATTTAGGGAGATCTATTCTGAAACTCCAAAGATGCCCAACACCATTCAAAATGTTTAGGTTAGCCCAGTAAAGTCAACGAAAAGTGGGCTTTAAGCTACACAAAGAAAACTTCTGTCTTTGGAAGTGAGGAAGGAGGTCCCATTCTAAGATGGTTGCCTAGTTTCAGTTAGAAAAGTTCTTGCTACAAATAGAATGGTTAGAGGTTCACCTTTGGTCAAAGAATCAAAAATCACACCAGTTACACTAACTGGTATGCCAATGTTTAAGTTTACCAAATTGTCAGAGACTGAGGAAATTCATCTTTCTCAGGAACACTCTCTTAGCATGCTGACAAAGATAGTGATTCTGCTTAACACTTTATTTGCTCAGCTTGCCATAAGAATTGGACAATATTAGTTTCATAAATGGGAAATTAAAATGCTTAGTGCTGGCAATAACACAGGTAGAAAAGGCACTCTCATCTATCGCTGATGGTGCAGATATGATCGTTTTTATCGAGTGTTTACTATGTGTCAGCTATTCAACTATTCCACTCGGTGCTAACGATACACCAGTGGAACCAAAAGACATGATCCTCATGGTCACTTGGCTCTAGCCTAGTTGGAAATATTAACGTGTTAAAGGAAACTATAGCATAGTATGAAAGAGGACTCAGTTATGGTGAGCTGTAAGGAGGAAAAAGCAAGGAAAAGACTCTAATTCAGTGCTAAGATGTCAAGAAAGGCTTGCCTCCTGTAGACAGTGAAGCAGAAGAGAAATGGGTGCTAGTGATGTTGCAAGACAAGATTTGGAGGCAGGGTGGAGAGCAGCCTTCTCGTTTAGAGAGAGCAGCCTGTTGAAACACTGGAATGGACAGTGATGACAGAGACTAGAGACAGAAGCTGTTTCTAAGGCTACAGAGTGGCTGATCTGGTCACAGGGGAGTTGAAGATGCTCAGCGAAGAATTTCTGAGAAGTGAATATTTAGAAACAGCCCACATTTCTAAAAAACAGAAAACTGCAATATAATAAGCTAAAATATTTCACAGTTGTTAGAGCGGATATTTATGAAGAGTTTTAAAGACTTGGGGAAATACTTAAGTTTTCATAAAAATTTTAAACTACTAAATAGTATATATGGGAAGCTCACAACTCAACAGCAGTGTATATGTAAGAGAAATGCTAGGCATATAGAAGCCAAAATGTAAATAATCGTTGTTTTGGGGTGGTGGGATAAAAGGTGATTTTTTTTCCTCCTGCATTTCTCCGTTTTCTCTTTTTCTCCAATCAAGCATTATTTCCCATTATATTTTCAATTTAAAATTTTTTATTTGAAAAAGATAAATGGTGACAACCAAAGGATTTCTTCAAGAATGTAACAATTTTTCCCTGAATAATTAATACCAGTATGTGTAGATACATGATTCATCGTGTCCTCTTACATCTTTCAAAACAATAATTGTATATTTAAATTGGAGGCTGAGGAACCATAGTTTCTTTCTTAAAATTTGGGGGAAATCATTGAATGAGAATTTGGTACAAGGCTCAGGCAACTTTATAGCAGTTTGGACTTCTATGTGCCTCAGTTTCATAATGGATTATAGGACAGAATTTATTGCCCAAGCTAAGGCAGATAAAGCAGACTTGACTCAGAAGACAAATTGGTCTTTTTTGTGTGTGTGTGTTTTCTGAGGCAAAAAAGTAGTCAAACGTTTGAAAGGAAAAATGTTCAACTGTATAGAAAGAAAACTGACAGTTGAAATGGGATCATCAACTAATTTTTCCTACTGCCAAGAGAAAAGAAACTAAGAAATAATGCTACCAAGAGGGTTTCCTGGGGTGAAAGGAAGTGGGGTTTCACATGGGGCTTTCACTCCACACGCTCTTCATATTTTACGAATGCTGTGCTTTGATATCAGGGGCTCTGACTTCTGAAAATCTGCTCATAAACAGTAATAACAATGGCTTGCATTCATGTGTGATCATACATAGGACCTCATTCATCCTCATGAGAGCAGTTCCAAGACAGAGAAGAGCCAAATCAAGTTAAAGAGAGGTTATAACTTTCCCAGAGTCATACGGTTTATAGGTAGATGTGGAGTTAGAATCCAAACCCTACCTTCCTAGCTCCTGACCTCTTCTACCTCACCTAATAGTAAATAGTGTGGATAGAAGTTCTTCTTTCCTCTCTACTTGTCTGAACTCGATGCAGGCTTCAAACACCAGCTTATCTTTGATTTTCCCACTCTCATCTGAATGACCATCAAATGACTCTTAGCTCTCTTCCCGATGGCAACATGCTCCGTGATGCATAAGTGGAGGATCTCAGTGCCGGCTTTATCTCCCCATTGGGATTTATAGGGCACTAATGGCATCTCACTCAGCCTCCTCTTCCCCATGCTTCTCCTGTATCTCCAATGTACCCTTGAGCACAGTGAGTGAGCAAGGAATTGTTGAATTAAGGACTGGCTTACCAACCTCTGGCTTGACAGGTTCTTAATGATATTTTACACAGAATCCACATATTTTCAGAGCTATCCTAAAATCCCCAGAAATTAAAAAAAAAGGAAAGAGATTCCATTTAGAAGGGCACTCACCAACCAAAAGAAGTTTTCCAAAAAATCTCCTGACTGTTTAAATAACTCCTTGTGAGGAATGAATCTTTATGTCCCTACAGTCTTAAACTTAGCACCCCAGGGGAGTCATTTCTTTAACATGACTTGCCTTATATTTGGAAAAAGTTCCTTTTCTGTCATTTACATATTTACTTTACATAGTCTCCCTTTTTGCAATGAAAATGTTGCTTCAATCAGAGATCCTGTTCCTTTTCGGCTCTTCTCTCAGTTTGGGGCCCAACAGAGAGGATGTGAGTGGGGTCCTGGTGATCCCACTGGCATCTTTAACCAGTGACAGTGTCCCAGAGGAGTTGTTTTATGTAAAAGTTAGCACGGTGTTACTTACAACTGCTGGCGAGGGGACATGGATGCTTGCAACGGATCGTGGGCGGATGTGGTTGACTAGATGGCAGAGGACGACACCATCCATGAGGGCAGCCCCCAGGTCTTCATGCAGGCTGACCTTGAGTCTCATCTCGATGCTCTGTGGGGGAATCAGAGGGAAGCCAACTGCTGTCAGGCAACTGAGGGTAAAATAGTTACAGGTGTCAATGAATTGAGACATAAGTTTCATGACAGAGAAGGGTAAGAACACCTGGAAACACTGACATGATTTAAGCCTTTTCAAAAGCTATTAAAGTATAACCCCTCTGTAGAAAAACAAATTCAGTTGTCTCTAAAAATTTTAACTCGTTGAATTAAAAACATAATGGAATCACTTCTTGAGTTTGATACTGCCACAGACTTACCAATGAAAATTGAAAAACAAAATGAGTTGACCAATAAAAACCAAATCCATGGTGATCATTTTGCAATATATAAAAATGTCAAATCACTATGTTGTACGTCTAAAACTAAAATAATATTGTAAGCCAATTATACTTCAATAAAAATAAAATATATAAAAATAAACAAAAATACAAAATTAACCCATATCCAACTGGTTCAGACAGCCCACAAGGGGCAGAAGAGGGATTGACATGCTTTTCTCTTAGGCCATCTTTCAGTTCAGAAATCAATTTTTCTCTCTTTTTAAAAAATCAAACTCTCAATTTTAAGATAATTATAAATTCATATACAGTTATAAGAAGTAATACAGAGAGATCCCATGTACCCTTTACCCAGGTTCCCTTGAAAGTAATGACTTGCAAAAATGTATACTATGACATGACATTGATAGAATATGTCCATCACCACAAGGTCCCTCGAGTTGCCCTTTTACAGCCACACCCACTTCCCTCCCACCCCAACTACCGCTTCTGCCCTGCTCTCTTTCTCCTCTCCTTCCAGGACTTCCATGACATGAATGTGGATCATCTGTTACACTCCCACAGGTCCTTGAGGCTCTGCTCATATATTTTCAGTCTGTTTCTTTCTCTCTGTCCCTCAGATTGGGTAATTCCTATTGTTCTTTCTTCCAATTCATTGGTCCTTTCCTTTGTTACCTCCATTCTGCTGTTAAACCCAACCCCTGGGCTTCTTATTTTGGATAATGTATTCTGCAGTTCTGAATTTCCATTGGTCCTTCTTTATGTCTTCTGTTTCTTTGCTAAGATTTTCTATTTCTTTGCCGAAGCCTTCTGTTTTTTCCTTTGTTTCAATCATGTTCATACGTGCTCGTGGAAGCATTTTTATCATGGATGTTGTAAAATCTTTGTCAGATAATTCTAACATCTCTGTCATATCAATGTTGTCATTTGTTGATTATCTTTTTGCATTCATTCTGGTTCTCAGTAGAATGAGTGACTATTTTTTGGTTGAAATCTGGGCGTTTTTGGTATTATGTTATGAGACTCTGGATTCTATTCAAACTGTTTTAGCTCGATTTTTTGGACACTGCTCTGGCAGGAAAACGGGGGTTACCACCTTGTTAATGCTGTGTAAATGCAGAAGTCTAGGATTCCCACTTGGTGTCAGCTGACTGGGGTCGGGTGGAAGTCCAGGTTCCTTCCCCAAGTGGGCCCCACTGACAGCATGGGAGGGGGTGGGACTGTTCTTAGCTGGTGGCAATGAAGTTCTTGGCCCCTTACTTGGCCTTCTCGGATACCATCCTGGCAAAGGTGAAAGTCTGGCTGCCTACTGTCTTTGCTGGCGTGGGTAAGGATGGGGCCACCGTTATTCTCTCATGTTTAGCTGGAGCAGAGTGTTTACTGTCTAAAACTTTTCTGTCTCACTGGCTGCTCCTTTCTTGGTCCTCTGATTAAAGAAATCAAGCTTTTGTTAGGACTTTATTTTTAAATTGTGCCCATTAACATTTCCAGGTTTCCAGCTACTCTAGTTCCAAGTCTGAGAAAGATGAGGCAAAAAAGAAAACCCACAGGACTCATCACCATCTCCTTCCTAGACCCAGACCCCAGCTGGTCTGCATTCTTCTCTCCACCTTTAAGAGTGATCTTATGCTTATTTTATATATAATGTCCAAGGGTTTTAGTTGTACTTAGTGGGAGGAATGGGGAAAAGTACACCTACTCCATCTCCTCAGAAGCAGATCAGTCAGCTTTTAAAATTTCAAATACAAATTTCTGCTTTACAACAGAAACTCCTTGTAAATGGATAATAGACTACAAGCTTCACGAGAGCAGGGAACTTTTTGCTCTTTTCTGTATCCATCACCTAGAATATAGAGCCTGGCACACAGCAGCTGTTGATAATCAACTGCTGGTGAAAGGAGAAGATGGAGTAGAAAATCCACATCCTCAAGAAGCTTCTTATATTCTTCTAGTTCATGGCTATGGTACTTTTCTTTGAAGATAAAGACCTTACGTAGTAATTCATGATGTGCTGCCTTTAATAACTAATGCCAGTGTGTTCTTTGGTGACTGACACCTGTACTGCTGTTTGACCTTCCACATATTTATATATGATCCCCCTAATTAGACACAAAGACCATGAAGGTAGACAAATACATACACAGTTCCCACTAGGAGCTGTGCTGGGAATAGAAATACAGTAAGAAATAAGACAGCCATGGTGCCTGCCATCACTATGCTTAACATCTTCCCTGGCACCCAGCACTAGACTTCATCCTTCATAGAAGCTCCAATGGTTTGCCTATTAAATGAGTGATTCGAAAATTCTGACCAGTTTGGGGTACAGAGTACAGATAACTATAAACATCTTTAAATTCATGGAATATTATTAAGAAAATTAGTAATAGTGCATTTTTTAAAGTGTACCAGAATTGACATACTAGCCTCTATACATACCTATTAAGTATTTCTCCTTACATTATCTCGTATATTCCTCACAAAATCCCACGAAGTAGGTGGGAACTATTGTTTTAATATGTGGAAAAACTGAAACTCAGGGATGTTAAGTGACTTGCCCAGTAACAGTCAGTAAGCAAACTGGCTAGATTTGAAACTAGGTCTGCAGTGCTTCAAAGTCTATTTTTTTAAATATAGAATTCTGTTTCAATTCTGGAAATTATTATTCAGTTACACATTTCCCAGTACCTCTCGGAGCTGTTCCACCACTTCTTTTTCTTCTCTCATCTGTTCCATTTTCCTCCGAATCGTAAACTGTGGGTCTATAGATTCCAAATTTCTCTGCGGTCTTAGAAACACTGTAACAGAAAGGGAAAAAAAGCCTTTATGGAGTGCCTAGTACAGGTTGCCATACTAGGCCAGTCATATTTAAATCAAACAAATAGTTTCTTTATTTATCCCAAATAATCCATTTACTACTCACAGAAACAAGAAATTCTGAATTCACATGAAAACCTTGATTACAATATTCTAGAGAAGACTGATACATTTTAAATTATTCTGGGTTGTGTGGACTAACAGAAGCTGTATCTCTGGTTGATAATCAGCTGAATCCAGCAAAGGGCTTGGTCATCCTTGGCACCATTCCAGATTCCTTCTCTCTCATTTTCCCACTGCCTTCATGTTAAGTTTTCATCTACACCCGAGGTTTCACAATCCTTTCATTAAATGCAGACACTCTGTTTCAACTAAGAAAACTTAGAATTGCTTTGCACGTTAAAAATAAGCACAGGTTAACAATTTTGTTGGCTAGGTTTTTTCATAAGCCTGGGTTAACAACCCAAGTGATGATACACAGGACACGTATCTGAGTGGAGTGTGGCGTGGGAAAATTCTGCCTTCTCTCATGTCACTGACATCGAATCCCAAAAGCTAGCTCTTCAGAGATGACCACAGACTCCTTTTAGAAAAGCTGGCAAGCTGAGAGGCAGTTTTAAGAGATTATCTTCGGATGCCGTTCCTTAAAATTACAACCTCCAGGAATAGCAACTCACAGTGGAAGGGTTAAACCTCTGGCTCCAGAAAAAAGTGAATGCTCTCAACTTCTGAAGGATGACATCTTTTAAAGACTAATAAAGAAGGTACAAAATAGTCTACGTACGGCAGAGTGATTATAGCAAGGGTTTTGTTCAATTTTTATTAGGATACAAAGCCCAGGGTAGATTTAAACTTGAATTTTTTTCTTCCCTGCGATTTTTATCCTATTAATACTGTCAGTTTTCCATGCACACCAAAGGGGGCAAAGAACTGCTGAAAGCTGTAGTTAGTTCCCTGTGTCCCGTAGATTTTCACATTGGGAGGGGTGAGGTGGGTGATGGGGAAGATTCGGGGCCTTCAGCAAATTTGGGGCAGAGAACTCCAATTTTAAAAATCAATACCATGTAGAAGGCTGCACTGACATACTGCAATTGTAGTAGTTTCAATCACCATATCGTCAATAACGCAGAATAAGATCATCTAACTTTTATTCTATTCTGACAAACATTTCCTATGAGCTACTTTAAAGGCTATTTTAATTTATTAGTTTTTAAAATTAAATATGATTTACAAATACACTTTGAATTAAAAAACTGGACTCTACCATATAATCAATTATCCCATGTTCATTCAACTATGTCATTTTAATCTCAAATTTGTATCTTTAGACCAAAACACCTTAATATGTATCTTGCATTATACTTCTCACATCTCAGTATTTTCTTTCTAAAACAGTTCTAGGATATTTGAATCAGTATTCTGGTGCTCTACAGGGGACCAGAAAATTAACACATCTTAAGAAACCCTTGACTTAGAGTTAACAGAGAAAGGGGATGAGCTATTGTACTTAACACCTATTGGAACCTCAGAGACGTGTCAGCCTGGGGCCTGGGCTTCTGCCACAAGACACCCAAGGAAGTCACAGGCAGAAAGAGCCGAAGGCTTGTCACCAGGGTCCACAAAAGCCAAACCCCACAGGAAGTGAGACCCGATTGTTTTAAAAATAAAGGCAAAGTAGGCAAAGGAAGTAGGGCAGAGCAACTGGCAGGGAGAGTTCACAGAGCAAAGGGGAATGAGGAAGAGTGTGACAAAATAAAGCACAGAATAAAGTGGAAATGCACTAAACTTGCCTTTACACCGTATTGAGCCCCCACAAAAATTCACCCGTTTAAACACAGCAGCCAGAAGAGATATATATTAAAATGTAAAGTCTAGAAATAATCCACACCGCCAAAGAAAAGGAGTCAACCAAATTTACCAAAAAAGTCCAGGAAC